CACGCGGAGTACAAGGACAGCGCCTGGATCTTCGTCGGTATGAGCCGGGCCGGGGGGGTGTGGGGGGGCCGCGCCCGCGCCATGCCGGTGCGCCCGTCCCTCTTCTCCCTCTCCCCGCAGGCGGGCTGCACTACGAGCTGACGGAGGGGGATGTCATCTGCGTGTTCTCGCAGTAAGTGCCGCGGCCCCCCGGGCCCGCCGCACCCCTGCAGCTGCCTCGGGTGCTAAGAGTGTGTTGCAGGTACGGGGAGGTCGTCAACATTAACCTGGTGCGGGACAAGAAGACTGGAAAGTCCAAAGGCTTTTGCTTTCTGTGCTATGAGGACCAGAGGAGCACCATTCTCGCTGTTGACAACTTCAATGGGATCAAGGTGAGCGAAGCCCCCTGAGACGCAGCCCTGCCTGCCCGTGGTGGCTCCCAAGGTGCTACTTCACGTCAAACAGGAGCCCTGACAGCACGGGTCGCTGGTCTGTGCCTTCGCTAACAGCATGACTCCTCTCATAGATCAAAGGAAGGACGATTCGAGTGGACCACGTGGCCAACTATCGTCCCCCCAAAGACTCGGATGACTTAGACGAAGTCACAAAAGCTCTCCATGCAAAGGGTTGTGGAGTTAAAACACCATCTCATACGTCATCTGATTCCCTGTCGGAAGATGATGATGTGCCCCTAAAAAAGCAAAAAGGTGAGGTGTGTTCCTGCCAATCTTGACCCCAGGTGGGAATGTCTGCACAGAGCCCTCAGCCTCGCAAGGGCCCTTTGCTCGGGGGGACACCACGGACGGGTGTGCTCTAGAAAAGAGCCACAGCCCTAGCATCTAGGCTTTACTTTGTGATTGCCTGAGGGGTATCTGAGTGCCTGTATTTAGCCCTTATCTGTGAATGTTCTCCCCCAGCCTCTGAAGAGCTGTATCTTGCAGACAATAATAGCATTTTTCCTGGAAAAAAACCTGCCAGGCTGCGGGGTTACTGCAGAGGGGAGCAGCGCTGTGGGGGATGGCACGAGGGAGGGCACCAAAAGACTAAGTATCACTTAGTCTTAAAATGTAGCTGCTGCTACTGTAGGGCTAGAGTGCTGTAGGTGTATGGAATGACTGTTGGGTGGCCTACGCGAGATAACTGGATTGAACAGAATGTAACACAGGATCTGGGTGAGATTCTGTGGCTGGAAACTGAAGCCAAAGAGGGTAGAGGGGGGGGAGTTGGACTAGATGATCTTTAAAGGTCCCTTCCAACCCCAACTATTCCATGATTCTATGAAAGTAGACCTAAAAATGCAGCGTCAGTTACACCATCCTGCATGCCTGACTACCTCCTGTTCTCAGTGGATGCAGCAGGATTTGTTGCTCTACATCTGTCAGAAAAAAATGGAAAGATGCAGAGTACATCCAAATTGAACTTGAATGAACATGCCACGTAAAGGACCGCCCGTGCAGCTGTACTGATGGATTTTTAAGAAGCTGTTAGGATTTTTTCCATCTCTGCAGCAGAGATCTCGAAAAGTTACCCCTGTCTTTTCGGGGGTAGGTTACCCCTGTCTTTTAGAGGCAGCAGAGTGCTAGAAGCAGTGTCTTGCAGTAGTAGCTGCTTACCGTGGCTTGCTAACGACTTCCAGGCAGCATCCACCCGAGGTGGGTTGTGGCTCCCAGGATGAGCCCGTTAGGTGTGGTGACCAGGGTGGGGGTGTCGCTTCTTCTGAAGTTGGCTTGGAGCTGATGGTGAGTCACGGAGAGGAACCTTCCCTCCTGCAGCCACGTTCCGCCTGTGGCGGACCGGTGTTAGCAGCAGGTATTGGTGGCCATCGCATAGCTACATCTGAGCCCTTGCGTTGTCAGGGTTTGAGACCCCACCAAGAGAGCAGCTCAGCGCCGTCTTGCATGGAGGAGGATGCGGGGTGGATGGGGCCTTAGCATGGGGCAGAGGGGTGTGTCAGTCAGGCTAGAGTCCTAGTTTGAGAGGAGGGTTGGAGAAAAGAAAATAGACAATAAAACTAAGGGTGGGGACAAGGTGTCGCTCCAGAGCGCCAAGCAGATGCACAAAAATGAGAGGGGCAAAGGAGAGCGAAGAGGGAAAAGAACTGCTGAGTCTGGAGAAGAGAATTTCCGCTGAGCGGATCACGGTGTTCTTATTGCGTGGATGTTACTGAGAAAAGAGAATGAAAGGAAGGCGCTCGGTATTATGGCTGTGTTGAGGTGCCCGAGGACCACCTTGCTGGAGGAGAAAGATGTTGGGGTTGAAAGTGGAACAGAATCTCTCTGGGGGTAAACAGGCTGTGAAGCTTGGGTGGAGGGGGGAGAACTTAAAATGGGAGGGGAGTTGGAAAGGTGCCACGGTACTGGGCAGAGCTTGGGGAGCTGAGGTGATGCTTGCAGGACTGTCCATCCTGAAAGATGCACCTTGTATTTCAGATAAGGAGAAAAGTAGACAGGAGCGGCAAAAGCAGAGCTCGCAGGCTGTGAAGCAGGTGTCTTCGGTGGAGGAGGCGCACCCCAGAATCAAGATTAAGAAGGAGAAGGAGGACCCTGGCTACGAGCGCTATGCCAGCGGGAGCCAGCAGCCCTGGAAGAGCTCTGAGAAGAAGCCTGTGAGCAGGACGCAGCGAGAGGAGGAAGAGTGGAGGCACCAGAGGGTTTCGGAGAGAAGAGGGGAAAAGAGCTGCCAGGACCAGAGGGGACAAAGTGGTTTGTGGGAAGAGAGGGAGAAGAGAGAGGACGCTGGCAGGAAGGGCGACGGGCACAGCAGCCGGCGAGAAGAGTGTCCTGAGGGAGGCAGATCCCGGGAGCGCGGCACCAGGGAGCCCCATCACAGGCACAGGGAGCGGGGCTCCGTAAGAGGCTCCAGCCCCCAAAAAGGGTGGGCCCCCGGGGGGCGGAGAGGGGCCCCGAGCCTGCCTGAACACCCGCGCGGAGTCTCCCCGCGCCTCTGGGGGCACTGCGGCTGGACCGTTCACCCTCAACAGCTTCCACTTGGCTTCTCATTCTGTCCTTGGACAGGGCTGCGGACCAAGGCGTGACTTTTGTTGCCTCCTTGCAGCATTGGGACTTGTGGGCATGACGGGACACTGCGCTGTGGCATGGAGGTGGTCATGGGGAGCAGCAGTATGCTCTCCTTCCCAAAACTGCCCAGTCCTGTCACTCCTGGGGGGACGTCCCCCTCTCACGCTGCAGGGAACAACCCATTTTGTCTTGTTGGCCTCGCCCGCTGGCTGCGGGCCCTGAGCCCACCCAGCGCGTCTCCTGGCTTTGGTGAGGTGCCGGGAGATGCGCTGCTGTGTTGCTTTGTTCGGTTTTAAATGCCTCTCTAATAAAAGCGCCCTGTTAATGAGCAGCTCGCCCTGGGAGCAGCATTTCCATCTCCGGGGAACCAGC